TAAAAATCCTACAAATTTCAGTGGAAATTCGTAAAATTCCACTTTTTTTGTTCAGTTCATTGTGCCGTGGCAAAATGACTCAAATGTTGTGGACTGAAGTCGCCAAACTTTGGCACGATCTCGAAACCCTTTCAAGGTCGAAGCTAGATCTCAGGCACTAACCGTGAAGGTTCCCTTGGGAATTCGAATGATTCCCAAGACTACCTGCGAAATCTGAGAACTTTCAGCTAAATGGAAACGAAAAACAAATGGATACCAAGACAATTGTCACGTTTGCTCATCGCCAACAAGCAATGATATATCACCCGAGCGCCAAGCGAAAAACCAATCAGCGTGATGGGACGTTTGCCGTGCGATCGACTCAGCAGAATTTCCGCCAAATGCTCACCAACCTACAATATAACAGTGAAGTATCGCTGCTGCTACTGCTGTTGCTGCTGGCAAATTATCACCTGATCAATTGGAAATTTCTTCCATAGGAAAAATCCGTCCATTTTCAAAAAAAAACTCTGACAATTCGCTTTCTGTTCCCAGGAAGAACCCGACAATTCAACTATTCAGGAAAGTGCCTTAGCCTTGAAGGATGATGTTGGGATAAACCGGTGATCTCTTGTTTATTGCTTGCGGTTTCTTGTGTGTCTCTCTATAGTGCTTTGCATGTCGTGTGTTCTCTGGCCACCGTTGGCAACTCGTGACCGTTGTTTTGTGATCAGCTAATCTCAATCACTAGCTCAGTGTGGTTATATCAGTTGCTGTGTATTAGTCAGTGAGTGTGTTGTTCGTGTATCCAGTGTTGTTGTTGTGTATGAGCCATCATCCAAACTCAACCGTCAGTCTATCTTCACTCTACCCAACCATTATTATCGTCTTTATTTATTGTATGGATAAATCAAATTATTAATTGTCGCCTTCGCACCAGCAACACAAGTAACATCACAAACAGTGCCGATCAGGAACACAAATAAGTCTCGTCCATGCCTAAAGTCCCAAAAGTTCGAGTTCAAGCTCGCACTGAATCTCAACTGTTCACTCTCCCAGTTCTACTTAGACCTTAGTTGTGGCTTCTTAGCCTTACTACGGGCCAAATCCACCTTTGCGCAACGCTATCAATCTATCATCACATCCACAGACTGGATTACTCAATGTTGAGAGGCCAACCTCAGCAGCTCTCGAAACGCACACATTCCACGGATTGTCCAAAACACTTGCACTGCCCAACAATGCAACAGGCCATGCGACCGCGATCATCAAACCTGAAATTCATGCGATCCAAATCTCCCAAACAAAATTTTCAACTTCAAATAAAACCTTTTTAACAGTCTGCTGCAGAATGACCATCTCTAACACCACTTTCTCATAGTCTTGCAAAAACTAGCGCAAACATCTGGACACTTGTCATCGTTTTAGTGAATTCCGTTGAAGCCGCAGAAAAAATCTCAAGTTTTTTTTAAAAAAATTCTGAATCCTTCAAGATGTCGACGTGTGCAACGCCGCTGTCCAAAGGCATCCAAAAACCGAAAACAATTCCCCAAGTTCCCAAAAAAT